GGTGCTTGCATGTGGGACTTGTCATCTGGGATCTGTCTTGTTTCCCTCTGTTCTATTTGTTTCATTTGGCTGTTCCCTTCCTCTCTTCTTTGCCTCTTTGCCTTTTGGCTGTGTGCAAGTGGGTCGATATGACACACGGGGGTGGGGGCAGCCGCCGCTCAACCTAGATCCACGTGGGCGGCCTTGTACACAAGAGGTTCTGAACAGGGGGAGTTGTAAGGAAGAAGATTAAAAACGAATTTAAGATTTTTTTGTTTTTTTGGTTTTTTCGCTTAGGCGCTCTGATATCATGTGACAATATATATATATATATATATGAGTTGCCTACGGTAAACCGTAGGCAGAGAGGGAGGGAGGGAGAAGAGGACAAGAAACGAGGGGGGGGCTGTGACAAACTGTTTCGTCGGAGTTTCACCGACTCATCATCATCATATGGCTGTGTGCAAGTGGGTCGATATGACACACGGGGGTGGGGGCAGCCGCCGCTCAACCTACATCCACGTGGGCGGCCGGTCTTTTACGCAAGAGGAGGTTCTGAACAGGGGGAGTTGTAAGGAAGAAGACAAGAAATGAATTGATATCTTTTTTTTCTTTTATCTTGTTTTTCGCTTTTGCGCTCTGATAACTTTGTGACAATATATATTGTCAATATAACTTCGATTTTCATTCACAGGTACCTTGAGGGCAGTGGTTGGTGGTCCCCACCACCTCAGAGGGGTATCAGTTATACGGCAGCCGTTGATACTTAACCGAAACCGAGGTTAAGGTGGATTCTCACTTTCTGTATCACCGGTTAGGGGACTCTGCAGACTGCAGATGGTTCATCCTCCTGAAGGGTAGGTGAAGCTCTGACGAAACAGTCTGTCACGGCCCCTCTCGTTTGTTTTCCTCCTCTCCCTCCCTCTCTTCCCTACCGTTTACCGTAGGCAGTTCTGCTCGACTTCCCCCTTGGCGAAGTTTAAGGGGGACCAGCAGGATCCCTGTTCCCCCTTGGCGAAGTTTAAGGGGGACCAGCAGGATCCCCGTTTCCCTGTTTAAATACCCTATTATAAACAGGGAAACAGGGATCGTGATCATAATGGCGACGGTTAAGGGGGACCAGCAGAGTGATACCCTACACACACAGAGGCCCACTTGGGGATCAAACCCTAATTCAAGCACTGGAATATAATAGCCCACTTTAATAATTTCCCTCCAATTTAATTTAACACTTTAAGAAGTAAAATAGCCGTCAAACCTTCCCAACTCCAGCAAAGATAGCTTCGCTCTGATACTAATGGGGGGTCCCAAGCAGATAGGTAACGCTTCCGTGTCTTTTCTTTTTTTTCTTTTTTTCTTTTTTTTTTAACACCGTGTGATATATAATGATATAATAAGTTGTGAATCAAAACACCACACTTTGAAGTTTGAACCAATGACTGCAAAAACAGCGATCATTATCAAATGTTTTGATTTTGAAATCTAGAGACATTTAGGAATTCAGAAAAAAGACAAGAGTTTTTTTTGTACACCGTGTGATATGTAATGATAGAATAAGCTGTGAATCAAAACCACACACTTTGAAGAACCAATGACTGCAAAAATAGCGATCATTATCAACTCTTTTGAAATTTAGAGACATTTAGAGAAATTCAGAAAAAAAGAC